AGGGATGTAGCAGGTGGCTTTGGGCAGGCAGGGGTCAGAGCGGATTTTTTAAGCTTCACCACATCAGAAAGGTGTCAGAGAACCCTGTGCTGCCCTGCTGGATTTAGCTGTGGCCTCTATGTTAACACTTGGGCTGTGGTTGTAGGTTCTTCAAAGGTTTCTTGTGTCACTGCCTCTCCTTCAGCTCTGCTTTGGGCACAGCAGGTAACAGAGTTGTTACAGACAAGGCTTTAAGCAGTCTCAAACATTTGCATTGGCCTGATTCCTTCACTTAGAGCTGACCTGGAAGGCATCATTGTTGGTCGTATGTGTTTCATTCAGACCTGTGCATACAGTGCCATGCCTGGAGCTGCAGCAGCGTTGCTGGGGACTGAGCTAGAAATTTCTGTCTCCCTAGCCCATTCTAGGAAGGACTCAGGGACCGCTGTGGGCTCTGTGATCATAGAATAGTAAATCTGAACAAAAACACAACCACAAACTCAAAAGCCTTGCTAATTCACCTTATTGCCTTTAATGGAGTTCACTAACCCCATCTCGTAGTTGATCAGCGATTGTCCAGCCCACTCTTCAGAGCCTTTGTAGCTCAACTGGCTCAAACAGCTTCGTCCGGTGCCCTCTGGTTCTTACTACCACAAAGACCTCTTCCTGAAATCTAGCCTGTGTAAGCCTGATAAAACATGATCGGCGCATAACCAGCAATAATCAGGAGGAAAACTTAAATCTTCATCTTTCCAGAAATGAACTAGTTTGGGAACAACAGAATATCACTATGTATACGTGGTGCCCCTCTGTGGAAGTGTTTTATTTCACTTAGTGCAAGCAGGGCGGAACCATGCTCCATTCCTTAGAATCCTTGCTCACTTTTCTGTCTATTCTTGCAGCATAGAGCAAATTAAAAGCTCTCAGGAGTTTGGGGCTTGCAATTTAATATAAGGTCAAGACGGGACTGCCAGAAGTCTTTTACCGTTCTGCCCCTCTTGAGGCGGCTTTTGCCTATTTCAGTGTGCAGAAGGTGCCACCCGCAGCTGCTGATGTTTTTGGGTTCAGCTTGTTTTGTCACCCATTGCCTTGTACTCTCAGTGCAGCAGGATTGCTTCTGAGCTGTTCCAGACCATTGAGCAGTTTAATTCCTGGGCTGACTGGTGCAGTTCCAGGTCGTGCTATCTGATCCAGAGGCCAGGTGTAGCTGCTGCCTATTGTCTTCACAGCCTGTGATTTGTTTGATGGCCCTGGGGAAGGGCCTGTGCTCCTGAATGTTACTCTAAAAGTTGTAGGCTACAGCTCCCAGCACTTCTCATTTTATCTACATCTATGTTTGTATTTATATAGGCATACACACATGCATTTACAGGGTCTTTTCATGGGAATTACCTCGTTAAAAGAGGTGAGGAGTGCTTCTGTCATGATCATCATCCTGCATAGTTAGCAAACCAGGGAGGGGAGGTGAAAGAAAAGCACAAAGCCGTCATTGCTCTGCTCTGTGAGAGATGTTGGGACTTCCCCCTGCCCTGTCTCTTTGTGCTCGTGCATCCCATGCGTGTTCCTCGCCCTTCTGCAGTCGGGCTCGGCTCCTGGTGGTGCTCACCAAACCAACCACTTCTCTGTTACTCATGAGCATGAACTGAGCGACCCCAGAGATTGCTCTGAGGTGTGTGCTCTAAAAATGGTTGTTAATAGAACTCGATTTTGTGTTTTTACATGTAGATGACTGCAAAGAGCTGGTAATAGTTGAGCTTGTTTTGAGGCTGTGGAGAGGAAAGTGTGGTTGGTGTCAATGATGTGGAATTCAGGGATAAATCTGGAGCTGCTGTGAAAACATGCCAGTCGTGCAGCCCTGTCAGGCAGAAGTGTGCAAATTCCAGTCCCTTTCCAGCTAGACCAGGCACTTTCCATCTGGATTTGCTTCCCCTCTCAAACATAAAGCAAAACTAAAACCACCTTTAGCTGCACCTTCAAAGACCTGACTAAGTGTCTAGTTGTCGTGGTAGCAAAACCAGCCTGTCCCTAAAGGTTGCTTGTTAAGCGCTTGAGAATCAGGCACTGTTAGAATCAAATCTGAATCACTGTGAGCACGAGAGAGCAGGGTTAGACCAGTGGTTTTAATTCTGGCATGTTTACAGTGTTTCCTGGGCGGGATGAAGTGCAGAATTCTTGCAAGTGTGATAGCGGTATGTTTTTGCTTGCTTTTTGTTTTTTTAGGGCAAAGTCTGATCAGCCAAACCGCTGCAAGTGAGGCAGAGGGCAAAGCTAGATCTCAACTGCTTGGTACCTGCCCGTCTGTGCTGCACAGCTTTGTCCTTTCTTGTCCCAAGTGCCTGGTGTTTGGCCTGGGCTCAAGTTTGAGCTCTTCTGCTGCAGATTGAACAAAAGCAAATAGAAAATAAGCTGTCCCGAAATGAAAGCGCAGTATCAGTTTTTGAAGGTGCTAGAGTGGACCAGCGCAACAGTTCCTTGGTGCAATATATAAAATTAATTTGTTGTGTTTAAACATAGAAAAGCTTCTGTATGTAATGAATATAGGTCTGTAGTAAGATCACATCCAGCCACAGGGGAATCTGACTGCGGCAGGGGAATGCAGCTGGAGCACACCCAGGGTATGTGGAATCCTGGCAGAATTTATCTTTCAATTTTTTGCTGTAAATATATGAACTTCTATGAAGTACATCCCTAGAGTTAGGATTTTTCCCTAGAGTTGCAGAAGTAGCAAGAAGCATATCCTGGCGTTGCACCTCTAAAGGTCAGACCCATGGCTGAACGAGGCAGTAGGCAGAGCTGTGCGCTTTGCCACGTATTTAGCCTTGAAACCCTTTTTGGGGGGTTACATTTTCTGCAAGATGCCCTCGTGAAGCTGGAAACAGCAGAGAAAACTTCAGCTGGAGCAGTCCGGCACTGGCAAAGTTAGGAGCAAATGAAAGCGGGGATGAGGGTCGATTTTTTTCTATAAAAGGTACCATTAACTTTGCATTGTAGTTACCTCATTATCTGCCCTCTCTGCCTCCAGGCAAAAAGCTGGTGTTCCCCTTTTCTGTTTTGAATGACAGGTCCTTGCTTTTGGATATCCCATGAGAGCTACTTCTTCTCAGCTGCGACTCTTTGGTACATTGGTTTTGGTCTTGTTTAACCATCTGTCTGGATTCCCAGGAGGTGCCTGCACAGACCCCTCCTGGGAAATAGGTCTTTCCTTCGTCCTTAGCAGGTGCTTGTGAGGTGCCTCATCCTCTTTGAGTTTGCAGAGGCAGCGACATCCCAGAAACACCAAACCCCGTGCATCCATGTGGAAAACACTGTCCTGCAATCGAGGAGAGGGCATGCAGTTGTTAAGGGTATATTGATGTTTCTGAAAATTAACACGTTTCCCACTTAGCCCAGTGAATAGGCACATTGGTGTGGTGGCCCTGATAAATCTTCCCTTTGGGGATAAGCTTGTGCATCTTAACTATTTTTGTCATGTTCCACTTTTTCGGTAAAGTGCCTGCTTTAATTAAGGGAAATGAGGAAAAGCAAAAAAGATCTCTTACTGATTTCAGTGCAACTTTAATTCCCTCTCACATGGTGTTAATATTTAACATCCTGTAGGTTGAGATATGTACGGTAGGCCCCGAACTGGCACGCCTGTGTTGTCACAAGATCTTTTAATTTGAATCCATTCAGTTCCCTGACCATTTTTCACCAGCTTTCCAAAGGAAACAAAGCTTACGTAACTCTTCCCGTCAGTCTGTGAGCTTTCTGCAAGTAACTCTTGAACCTATCAGCTCTTCACAGGCAAATCTGGCAGAGGGAACAATACCACCCCTATATTGAGGTCTTAAAATAGTATGAAAGCTGGTGACCGATAAGGAAATAGTGCCCTCCAGCAAATTAAAAATGCTGTAGTTTGGACCCAGCTGTTTTGTTCTGCTGGCTCGCCCAAGGAGGGGTGCATGTGCAGCGAGAGAAGTAAGGTGTTGGAGAGTAGTAGCAAGAGCTGCAGTTATTATGGGAGGCAGGAGATGAGTTTGTGGCTGAATGAGAAAAATCCGTAGGTTTGTGGAGCGACTTGTTGAATTTAAATGAACACGAACGTCAGGAAGCCAACGTAACGGAATATTTTTTTTGCCATCTAGCTCTTGTGGGTCATTTGTCAATTAACTTGAAGTTTCTTTCAGCCAAAACAAGCGGATGTTTGGATGGGAACTAATTTTTGCCTTTCTCTCTTAAAGGTTTTCAAACCGTACCAGGCGTCCCAGCACGACATGTGCCGATTCCACTCGGAGGACTACATCGACTTCCTGCAGAGAGTGAGCCCCAACAACATGCAGGGCTTCACCAAGAGCCTCAACGCCTTCAACGTGGGCGATGACTGGTGAGTGCTCTGGGCCTTCTGCCAACCTGCAGTTGGAAGAGGCACTCCTGCATCGCCCACGGCCAGAGAGCAATTTTAGAATGTCCCGTTTCTTATTTGTTTTTAACCAGGATGAGGTGCATGTCTCTCCTCTGTGTATCAGATGACTGGAACTGCCTTGGTTCCCTTCTCTTTAGAACTTACAGTCCTCCTTTTTAGATCTATATTTAGGCTGTAAGCTTGTTGGGATCGAGTCTGTATCTGTACTTGTTCTTGCAGAACCTCCAGTTCTTCTTGAACTTGCTAACTATTTTATTTAACAATCGCCTTTCGTTTTAGCATGTTAAGTTCAGGGCAGCTTTCAGAGCCTGATGTTTTTAGGTAGAAGTAAAGAGATACTTGTACCTCCGTACAAAACTACGTGAGATCTTGCTGACAATATTCAATTCCAGTCTTTAATGCTTGTGAGAGATGAAACTGGAAAGAAATGTGTGGAAGGGCTCTGTGGGTGACTGAGGAAATAGCACTGTGACTTGTGTGGTTGAGGATTATAAGGGCTGTCAGAAAGTAAAACTGTTTTTATGTGTTCTGCAGAGGGCAGAGCTGTGCTAGCATGGGAAGAGTGCCGTTAACTAGAAAATGGTCCCATCCCAAGCAGGTACTAGTGTAGCCTGGTTTTTAATATCTAGGCTGAGAATCCAAAGACTGTTCTGTGACCTTGCTGCTCTGATTACCAAAAACCTTAGCCAAAAGGAGAGAGGAAAAGAAACTCCCACAGTCTTTAAGCCACTGCTTGCCCATGAATGTAGTTTGTGACGTCTCTGCATCCTGCATTTCTGTCCTCTCCTGGTACCTGGCCTGGCTCTGTGTGCTGGGATGGATCAGACCTCCGTGCTGTACTAGGAGCAGCCTTCACCTCTGGTGGCAGTGCCCCCCGCTGGGTGTGTGCTGGGAGGTAGATGAGGGGCACATATCTTCCAGATACAGCCCAGGGGAGGTAGTGGAGAAGCAGACCACCCCTACCCTTTCCTGATGCGGTCTCACATCGCATCCTAGTTCTGAGCAGATGTTTTCAGGGCTGCAGGACAGATGCTGGTGTGTCCTGTGAGGCCTTTTCAGGACTGGCTTGGAAGCTTTGGTAATTGTTATCAGACTCACTGAGTTTCCCATTGTGTTTGCAGCCAGATTGCTGGTACTCAGTGTGGTATAAGCAGGGTCAGGGTGATCCCAGATTAACTCTTTCACAGAAAATGAGTTTTGATCTTGCTCAGGTAATGTCCCTGGACAGTTTTATTCCTGGCTTTGCTTTGGAGGAATGGGAAGGAATGAGAAGATGTTCTGTGTTTGAATCCTGGTTTCTTTTTCAGCCCGGTGTTTCCAGGCCTCTTTGAATTTTGCTCTCGCTATACTGGGGCCTCCCTGCAGGGAGCCACACAGCTGAACAACAAGGTAACTGGGTTGATGTCCTTATCTTCTGAAACCCAAATGTAAGCCAACGGGTTTTCAGTTTAAGGAAAAACTCATGGATTTGTTTTGTAAAACAAGGCAGCAAGTGCTGCTGTGTTGCAGTGTGAATACCTGTAGGACTGGTAAGCTTTAGACAATTCTTGTAGTGTCAGGGGCAACCATTTAGTAGATGTTTAACCAGGATACTAATGCTGCACGTACTAAACTCACCAAAGTACTCTCAGCACTGTAGAACAAAACTGGGGTCTTCAGTGAAAGTTTCACTGGCTGCTGGGAGACGTCAAGAGTGCTGCCAGGTCTCTGCTAGCAAAATGCACTGAATGAGACCACGCAGGAAGAAGGTCCCTCGAAACAGTATAAAAAACACCCAAGGTACAGAGGTTCAAGTCTTCTAGAGACTTAAGAAAGGTCTAAGGAGTGTGAAGAGCCAGTTCAGGGACAAACTGTTTGTGCTGGGGGCTCTGTCTGCAGCTAGAGGAGGGGAGGTGGTGGTGGGAGATGATCTTTTCTGGTCTAACAGGATCGATCCAGTATGGACATGACGTAACCAAAACCAACCGTTTTACATTACTGCTGGGGTAATGGCCAAGATGGAGCTTTGGAAGGCGAGAAGGGTGTTTGTGGGTGATAGGGCTGGGTATGTTGAAGTAGTTACACTGGGGAAGTGGGTGCAAGGTTGCTGTTACCACCTTGTCGCCTTTAACTAACTTATCTTTTCTTTTGTAGATCTGTGATATTGCGATAAACTGGGCCGGGGGCCTGCATCACGCCAAAAAGTTTGAGGTAACAAGGCAAATCTGTGTATTACTTTGTCTTTTTGAGGTCCAGACTCTTTACTGATCTCATTCTAACACTGTTTGGTTTTCCCTCTCTTGCAGGCTTCTGGGTTTTGTTACGTTAATGACATAGTTATCGGCATCCTGGAGCTGCTCAAGTAAGGACATGGGGCAAGTGCAGTAGTGTCCTGGCTGGTGTGTGGTTTCCCTCTGCTGCTTTGCTCTTCTCCCTCTTTGTCTTCCCCTTCACATAATGCCAACAATTTGTTTTTTGTCCTGGCCTCCTCTTTAGGCACAAGAGGGGAAGCTTGAAAATTGGAATATCTGACCCCATTGTTTTTTGTCTGCAGCTTAAGAGATACAGAAGAGTTCTCCAATTCCATTTCTCATCCATCTGTGAAACACTAATTTCAGGGTCTTCTGAGTCTTGATGTTTGTGCCACAGTGAGCTTTTCATAGGTAATTATGGCTCACTGGAGACAGTTAAATGACTCAAATCTTTCTTGATTTGCTTGAGTGGCTTAAGAGCAGGACTTGAGCAACACGTGGATGATCAAAGGAAACTTGCTTTGAATAAAGGAGTTTAATAGTTTTTTTTAGAAAATGAAAAATAAATTCAGAATGGAAGAGTTACATGAATACCTTCTGTTTCTTGCATTAATCTGTGATTTTAATTATTTTTTGTACTCTAAAATGCACTCCTTGTCACTGAATCTGAGACAAGATGGAATTAAAAAGTATTTGGCACTGACCAGACAATACTTACATGACCGATGTCAAGCTTACTTCCTCTCAAAGTCAGATTTATGGGATGTACTGGCGTTTTTTGTACCTCCTTCCCATCTGCCAGTCTTCATTCCTCTGTGTTTGGAACCTCAAGTTTTCACTGTGTATCTCTGCACACTCATTTTTCAGTCTTACAGAAGTCCCATATACCAGAGGCTTCAAATACAGCCCTGTTACCCCTCATGGGAGATTATAACATGTTAAAGAATAAGAGAATAGCTTTTGTTCTTTATTTTCAGGAACTGTTTCTGCAGAAGGTAGCTTCGCAGTTGAGTTTGCTTCCCACCATAGGAGCACTGTGCTGTTTCTGCTCTGAGAAGGTCCCTTTCTCCCTTTACTGGTGTGGAAGGGCTGTGTGTATGCAGCCCTTTCTCCTTGCTGCTCTTTGTCTATGGGATGAATAATCTGGGCTGTCTTAAATAGTTTATGTCTCTCTTGGGAGACTGAGGCAAGGGACTTGTCTAATCAGCATGGGTCGGCACCATCAACCAGTTGGATCTGATCGCTCCAGACACACTTAGAGCCACGATTCCACAGCAGATGGCACAAACTACATGCCTCCTCCTCTCTGTTTTGATGTCTTGTTTTTTCAGGTCCTTCCTCAGTCCCCTAAGGTTTTGGCAGGGATGCCCCTCTGTCCTTGGGGCCTGACCAGATGCAGTATATTCTTGTAAAAAGTTGGAGAAGTTGTCTCCAGCTGAGCAGACAGCTCTAGAGCTTCAGGCAGGGATGGCTTAGGGCTGTGTCCCCAGTGGTGGACAGCACATTGGCTTTGACCACAATGCATTTACTTGTGGTGATCTCCCCTTCTTCACTCTCTTTCTCCATGATGCACCAGGCTTCTTCTCCTGGAAATTTAGTCCAGCCTGGTGTTCTTGGTGCTAGCCTGCTGGGACATAGCTCTGCCAGTACTCTGGCATGTGGAGGAAGTAACTGTTCCTGCCTCCTCCTCGGCTTGCATACCTTTCATTTCCTGATATGATTAAAAATAGTTTGAGCTCTTAAAGATTAACTAGAGGCATGTTGTTTGTAGAGGAAACAAAACCTTGCAACTTTCTAACACCTGGGTGGTTAAAATAGGTTCTTCTCATCAAGTACTTTCCAAGACATTTCTGACCCCATCTGAAAACCTTTTGTTCTAATATCTCTTTTCAAGCACATCAGAAATAAAATGTTTTAGTGATGGGGCTTGTTCGACTGTATACAAATGTCTCATATCTAACCCATTCGGTACACCTCAGGTGGGACAGGTAACAGGTAAGTTCTTTTGGCAGGTGGTCTTGCAGGCAGATGTCAGTGGTTTTTGGTGACAGGTGATACTGAGGCATGTGAGGAATAGTGAGATTGGGTGCGGTGCAGACAGTAACGCTGTTTTTTCCTCCTGTATTCAATAGGTATCATCCTCGTGTTCTGTATATTGATATTGATATCCATCATGGAGACGGAGTGCAGGAGGCTTTCTACTTGACAGACCGTGTCATGACAGTGTCGTTTCATAAATATGGGAACTATTTCTTTCCTGGTACTGGTATGTGATTTTCTGTATAGTGTGAACCTGGCCTCGCTTCAGAGTCCTTTGAAAGCTCTGCTGGAGTAGAAAAGTGTGAAATCACAAAATTAGAGAAATGATGGAAGAAAGGATGTGGAAAAGCAATTAGAGAGGAACAGAAGTACGGTTATTTGTAAGAAGGAGGGATCGGAGCTAGGTTAAGAGATCTCAACCCAGACCACATCTGGCCTTTGAATACCTCTGCAGTCTCGGACCTGCTTTGACTCTCCTGTTTCTCCCTGGCCAGGTGACATGTATGAAGTCGGCGCAGAGAGTGGTCGTTACTACTGTCTCAACGTTCCTCTACGGGATGGCATTGATGACCAAAGTAGGTGTTCCCTGCTGCTTTCCCTTGCCCAGGCGTTTGCTGGTCCTTCTGCACCGGAGCCATGACAAATCTACCTTTCTCTCCAAAGGTTACAAACACCTCTTCCAGCCAGTCATTAACCAGGTGGTAGATTACTATCAGCCCACCTGCATAGTACTGCAGGTAAGAAAGCAAACCCCTGTGCGCATGCCCATCCCTTCCAGAGAATGTAGGGTGGAGAGGGCTGCTGTTGAGGTGTTGCCTTCTCTTCCCTGGGGAATTGACTTAGGCTTGTTCTATCTGAGCTGCTGTCTGTACCCCAGAGGCAGTGAGGGTGGAGATGCTCATGTGTGTCAAAGCAGCATCTCTGTCGCAAAAATTCAGTAGTTCTTTTCTTGTTCCCCAGTGTGGTGCCGATTCCCTGGGCTGTGACCGTTTGGGTTGTTTTAACCTCAGTATAAGAGGACATGGGTAAGTACAGTGGGGCTGGAGCAGAGCAGTTAATTGAAAGACCATCCTTTAGTCTCAAGGGTTCTAGTGAGTCCTCTGTGGCAAGGCTTGAGCTTTGACTTTGACATTCCAGCAGTTTGGCGTTTATTTTTAACTCTTCTGTGAAAGGAGGGGAGCTCAGAAGGAAACTTTGCACAAGGCACCACAGGGCGGTGATTTGTGGAGCAGCCCGTGGTTCCGGCTCCCGAGGTGGAAGCCCTGAACTCCAGGTGTATCACACCAGCTGTGGTGTTGTTGGAGTGTGCGATGACACTTCTGACACCTGAATGTGTCCTGCAGTTAACAGCTCTGCCTTCTTTTTTTGTTTGTTTGGCTTTTCTAGAGAGTGTGTGGAGTATGTAAAGAGCTTCAACATCCCTTTGCTGGTCCTGGGAGGAGGTGGTTACACAGTCCGCAATGTAGCACGATGCTGGTGAGTCTCTTGTTGAAGAGCACTGGTTAAGCAGTTGCTGTGGGCACCATGTAGCTTTCTCTGAACTGAGCTCATCTTATTCCATGCTTTCAGGACTTACGAAACATCATTGCTTGTAGATGAAGCAATTAGCGAAGAACTCCCATATAGTGGTAAGTTGGAGCTCCATTTTTTTCCTCGTTAGTTGAGGTCAAGTATTTGTTATATCAACTGAAGAATTAACACTTTTATTCTTGACTGACCAGAGATAAGACCCCGAGGTCAAAGTGACAGCATTTTCTCATCTTAAAGATGGCCTTACTCATCTCTGTGGCCCACTTCTGGGCTTTACTGGGCAGACACACCCTTACTGTGTTATGTGTCATTTAATTTCCTATTTGGTGACCCGAGACCCAAACATTACTTTTGCTCGCTCTGTTTTGTATAATTTCTTGCAGTTGCAGAGCTGTACATCACTCTGCTTTTTAGGGTCTGGTCACTCCCTAGCATGCTGGGAGAGTGAGCTCTGCTCTCTGCAGAGCAATGCGGGCTCGGCTCCCTTGCCTCTGTGAGGTAACGCTCTTGCTCACTCCATCACAGAGTATTTCGAATACTTCGCTCCAGACTTCACCCTTCATCCTGACGTCAGTACGAGGATTGAAAATCAGAACTCCAGACAAGTGAGTGTTTGCAGCTTTATTGCAATGTCAGCTGTGTACTCCAAAACCCAGTAGTCGGTGATCTGTCCTATGAAACCAGGTAGAGCCCAAGGAGAAGGAATTCTCATGGGGCAGAAAACTGATAAAAACTAAGTAGAGCCTTTCCTATGGGATGTCAGAAAGTCTCATAGCATTTGAGAACCTTTCTAGGTTGTCTTACTGTTTTCTGTGTGCTCGAGTATCAATAATTGAAGTGACTCCCACCTCTCCTCTGCTCTGATAGAACAGCTTTTTGCACCAATTTGTTTCTTAAAACCACCACATGGATGATGCAGGCCCAGGTAGCAGTGACTCTGTGCAGACTGCCAGATCTCCCTGTGGTGATCCCTCTACTGTTTGGTTTTTTTTCTGTGTAGTACTTGGATCAAATCAGGCAGACGATATTTGAGAATCTGAAAATGCTGAACCATGCTCCCAGCGTGCAGATCCACGATGTCCCTTCCGACCTGCTCAGCTATGATCGCACAGATGAGCCCGATCCGGAGGAAAGAGGTTCTGAGGAAAACTACAGCAGGTACCAGATCTTGTTCTGGAGAAGTGGGCTTCCCTTTCTGTCTCTGCTGGGACGGGCAGGTGACACGCTAGAGACTGTCTGTTTCCTAGAACAGATACTAAGTCACCTCTGTGTCTCTGGTTGTATGCAGGAAGGCCCTCTCTAGAAATGTGTGATCTCACATAACGTTTCATGGGCTGTTTGGGCGTCTTCCAACTTTTGGCAGTGTGTCCTAGGCTGCTTTCTCTGTCCTCAGGGATCCCAGGGCTCTCCATGCTGATGGTGGTTTTCTTTCCCGCAGGCCTGAAGCTGCCAACGAGTTTTATGACGGTGACCATGATAACGACAAAGAGAGTGACGTTGAGATCTGAGGGCTCTGATGTGGGGTTCTGGACTATGGGGGTGTCCCACAATTGGACATGGGTGCTTGGAGCAGATAACTGGGCCATGTAGGAGCCAATTAGCCCTCCCTTTGTATGTGATTGCATGCGGTGGCAGCAGAAACAGCACCACTGCAGGCTTCTGCTACCTGGAGAGGCAGAGAGCAGTGAAATGTGTTCCTTATTTTCCACCATGTGTCATGGTTCCAGGTGTCACTGCTCTGGGAAATGGAAATTCAAGCAGCGCTCGAATCCATGTTGTGTACTGGCTGGCAGCTGTGTGACTGCCTTCAAAGCTTGACCGTGCTGGTTCGGTCACCTCCCATAACTCCTGTGCGGGCTTCTGCCAGCATGGTGGGAGCTGGAGCAGGCTGTGCCTATGATCTCTGCCTCTCTTCAGCAACACAGGATACATCCCACTTTTCCTGGCCCTCCACTCAGGTACCCAGCTGACTGTCCTCTGACGTCTGCCCTGAGAGTTGCTTCCTGATGTCCCTTTAACCATCTGATGCTCCCACAGCTCTTTTTGAGAAGACCAAGGCCGGTTGTGGGACAGGGGGTCACGAGTGTCCCTGGAGCAGGGAGCAGCTTGATGGAGCAGGATGGAAGGATGTAGTCTTGTTTGTTCACCCCCGTGCTCAGTTTTGTGTTCACAAGAGTACTGCAACACTTTGCCGAGTTGGACCTAACTTCCTTGTTTTCTTTATTCTTCAAGAGGCTAAAATCACTGTGGAACAGAGGTTTAGCTGCCAAGGTCAGTACATAGTGTGTCTTGCACCTCTGATGTAGCTTCCAGCTGTGTTTTCCAAATTCACACATGGCCCTTCTGTGTGTTAGCAAGAGATTTGGGCTGCTTGCTCAGAATGGAAACCATTCCCTCTTGACGGTATCCAGAAGATGTCACTCTGCTTCAGGGGTGAGGGAAGCTGCTTCCTCCAAGTCCCATCTCCTTGCCCTCACATGGCAGAGATTTCTCTTGGCTGTCCTCGAATCCCAGACTTTGCTGCTCCCTCGCCAGAGTCGTTGCCTGGTACCTGTTGTGGTTTGTGTGCCCTTTGGGGAGGTGGGAGGGCTTTAGCCTCTGACTGTACTGTTCTGTTTGTTTACTGATGTCTTTCAACATTAAATGAAGAGGCAGTATTTTTCTTACCTGACCTGTTGTTTGCCTGTTTAATGCTTGCACCTTTTTGGCTGCTGTTAAGAACGTGCATATCGTCCCTGGCAGGGTATTGTCCTTCACCATCTGACCTGTTGGAATGAACGGAGGGCATTCAGCTCCTCGAAGTGTATGCTGGTGAGTTTTCAGCCTCAGTGCACAATGAGAGGAGAGCACCCTGAATTCCTCAAGCCAGGTGGGATGGTGGCCACTCGTGCTTATGCCTCTGAGTGTGGCAAAAGCTTTGCAGGAAGCTGCAGAGCTGATTCAAGAAATCTTTCCTGGAATGGTTTTAAATATCACGTTTTCTCTGAGTTGAAATTTCCATAAGAATCTGTACTTTGCAGTCTTGGTTCCCTAAAGCCCTTGTTAGTGATTGTTTCTAGACCTGTCACTATTTCCCTCTCTGCTCCTCCTCCCCAGGTCCACGGCACTTGTCATTTATCGAATAAGCTCATGCTGGCCGGCATGGGTTGACAATCCTCTTGCATCCAGCCTCTTCCAATAAACCTGTGGAAAAAAACAAGAGAGGTAGAAAAGAAAAAGGTATTTAACCTGGGAGGTGAGGGCCAAGAGATGCCAACTTGACCAAAGCTGCTGTTGTGTTTGCAGGCAATGCCTGTTCCCGTTAGGATGTTTACGCAACTGCCAGCCCGAGGCTTCAGCTTTGTGGGGAGCAGGTAAAGCTTGGCCAGAAGCGAGCTATAGTTTGTGTAATTACAGTATGAAGTATTAAGTCAGTGTTACTCCTGCTAGGTGCCAGGAAAGTAAGTTATGGTGGAACTAGCTGCTGTGTGAGGAATGGCACAGCTCCTGTACAAGGAATAACTCAATGGATGAGCATTCTTAGCTGAGGACTGAGAACTGAGCTGGGAAGGGATTTGTGAGGTCTATAAAGCCGCAAATGTCCGAGAGCATTTCTCCAAATATTTAGATATTGGAGAAGCATCACATCAAACTCAGCTCAAAAGGTGGAGGTGGCCTGGCACCCACCTAGTTAAGCCATACAAGGTTTAGCCACCCAGGTATTATGAATGTGGGTTCGAAAAGAGCCAGGGGAAAAAAATAAATACCAAGATTGTTAATAAAAAGCCACTTGTTGCAAATTGTGGATGACTGGGTGAGTGTGGAGAAGCATTTCTGTGTGCTTACCTTGAACCAGCCCTGTGTCTGCTGCTGTGGGGTGGGCACTGGGCTGGATGGGCCTTACCCCACAGCTGTGTTGGCTTCCAGTGTTCTGAGTAATGTACTTTGCAAGTCAGAAAACACAATGTGCTGCTCTAGTGGCTTGCCAGACTGGTGAAAAAGAAATGCTTGTGGCCGAATGGAAAATAAACTTGTTTTCTTCCTGCTTGCCCTGTCAGGTGGCACCAGAGAGCTGGCTTGTTCCGTCTGCTGCTGTCATCACCCCTTGCAGCAAAAGTGAGGTACAGGGTGAATCCAGGTAGCAGGAAGTGTTTGCTTTGGGGGAAAAGGGGAATTCCCCCTTTGTAATTATCTTTTATCTGGGAAGACAGGAATGACCCTGCAATCCCACCCAGGCAGCCTTTTGTCCCAGCACAGGCCTGGTTTTCCTTTTTTTAGAGTGCTGCTCTATCCTGTGTTTTTAAACCAGGCTGGAAATTTGAAGTATCGTCATATCTGGGTGTGTCTAAAGGTGGATTTGTTTTGCTTTGTGGGTTTTCTGTTTTGTTTTCCGAGAGGAGGTCTGGAAATGGCCACGGAATGACCCGCACGCTTCCCCACCTCCGCACGACG